CTCTCTCTCTCTCTCTCTCTCTGTCTCTCTCACTCTGCCATAACAGCTCACACAACTCGCAGCAAAATCAATTTCCAACGCACGTTTACGACTATTTAATAGTAATTTGTCATAATTTGCATAACGTTTAAAAGCGCTTAACAAATAAATAATAATAATAAAAAAAATTAAAAAAACACAGGCAGCAGCAACGACAACAAAAGTCAAATACAAATGCTGCTAATGGCACCAACAACAACAACAAAAACATTAAAATCAATTAAATTGTTGCATGTGAAAAGCCGTCTGAGCTCAGGTGGCAGGCAGTCGGCAGCAGGTGGCAGGTGGCACTTGACAGGTAGCCCGAGTGCATAGAACGTGGGCTTTTGCCCGAAGCTGAAGCTGTTGCCGTTATCGACGTCGATATTTGGGTGCTCTGCCAAGGATAGCTAGTTGAGCTGCAACGCATCTCATAGCAACTAACACCCCGAGCGAAAACTAAGAGTGAATGACTGAATGAAACCTCGTAATATATCCACATAATTAGAACTGTGAATAGCGCAGCCTCAGTGTTGACAGTGAATCAGTTAATCAGCTAGCAGCGGCTGTTGTTGTAGTCAGACTCATCATGTATTTATTATATATATTATTATCCACATTTCCAACTAAGCTGCATTTTTGTTTCTCTTTCTTTTCAGTTGCAACTCAGCCACAAACCGCATTCACAAGCAGCTACTGTTGCTGTTGCTGTTGCTGTTGTTGTTGCAAAGCACGTGAGCCATGCAAAGGTGGAAAAGCTTTGGGGGAAATGTGAAAACACAATGCACATCAAAAATGTATTTCATATTTGCAGCTAAAACGTTTCAGAAAATGCAGCAAACCACAATTTCCTCATTGCATACTTAATTATTTCACTTTAAATAAGCTCTACTTAGCTGAAAAACTCTTTTGAAAGTCTTAAACAATGTATTTTTGAAGTTAACTGAATTTTTATACACATAAGGAATTTGATTTATCTCTGTTATGTGTAAACTATTAATAAATGATTCCTTCTGGCAGAAGCAAAGTTCATAAAACAACATGAAATACACGAAAAGCTCGCATAAAACTCTTTAAAAGCTCATATCAAGCGCATTTTGCTCGCATAAATCACATTGTCAATTTTAAATAGTAAATTTCATAAATTACATTTTTCCACGAAAATTATAAACTACGAGATAAACTCGCATGAATCAACAATTAAAGTATTTCTATATGAAAAACAAAATCTCCTTTTGAACAAGCTTCCAATTGTCTCTCACTCTTTTTCTATAGTTCAGCTCGTTGACAGATTACAATCAACCCAATCCAATCCAAAGCTCACTTGAAATTTATTAAAGGAATACATAGACCGCATTCAAACGTAAAGCTCATTTTAAGTTCAACTTGAAAGTACCCTAAAGCTCGTTCTTAGTGTTTATCTCAATATAAATATAAAGATTATCACAAATCAGTTCCATAATTGAACTGCTCACATCTTAGGTAAAACCTAAAATTCACTGTGTTCTCTCTCCAATAAGCGTAAAACTCACTCGAAGCTCATTTTAAAAATGCCTTAAAGCTCGCCCCTTGCTTAAATTCTATTTAAAATCTAAAGCTCACTGCAAGCTCATTGAACTTTTTATAAGCCACGCAGAAAGCTCGCATAATAAAGTCCCTAAAGCATACTTAAAACTGGCCTAAAATCAGCTTGCCTAATGCTCTTCCTAATTTTATTTAAAGCCCCCTTTAGGCCAACTTGCAGTTTACTTTAACTTGGCCCAAGGCGCTGCTAACCCTAAGAGCAACACCTTCTCTCAGCGCCAAGTGTCATTTGCCAACAAATCGAAAGAGAAAGACGAGCAACAACTATCGCCTATAGACACATGCATACTACATAGATAAAATATGTATGTGTATGTGTATGTGTGTATTGCCGAAGTTTGGTTCTGTATCTATAAATCGTTAGCTTACCGCAGTCGTCGCTGTCGCTGTCATCGATGGTGCTCGCCTGATCGCCGCTGATGCTGCTGCCCGTGCCGCCCAGCAGCATGCCGCTTGTGTTCCCGCTGTTGTTGTTGATGTTGTTGTTGCTGCTCCCGCTGATGTTGTTGTTGTTGTTGTTGCTGCTGCTGCTATTATTGTTGTTGTTGCTGCTGCTGTTGCCGCCGCCGCCGCCGCCGTCCAGCGAATGGAGCACAAGGGGCGAACGCGATCGCTCATCTTGGCCATCGACAAGGCCGCCGGCGCCGCCGAGCGGTACATTGGCACCATGACGATGCAACGCCTCGAGGCGTTCCCGTTCCAGCTGCAGCTGATGGTGATGCGAATGCGGGTGCGCATGCGGATGTGGATGCGGATGATGGGCAAGCGGATGTTGCGGATGTGTGTGCGGATTCAGAGGCTGTGGCAGCAGCACAAAAGGAAAACCCCCAATGGGATATATATATTATTTAGATGGAGTAATAGAACAGATGTTATAGGTAAATTAGCTCGCTATATATAAAGTTATCTTGGATAAAGTGGAGCAGAGATTTGAGTGACGAGAGCTGTGAACCATTCCTAGATTTCTATTTAAATTGATACACTAATAGAGAACTATGAAATCGAATGGGAATTCAGGAATTCCTAACCCTTGATGCAATGCGAAAATACTTCCCTAACTTTCACTATTGATGTCTGCATACTGCTCAAGACTTTTGCGGATAAAGGAACAGACTGAGGAATGAAGAATTTTGAACAGAGTATACTCCACAAATAGGGCTAAGAGCAGACTGAGGAATAAGGAACTTGAGGCATGAGGAATTTTGAACAGAGGCAGTGTACACAAATGGGGCTGAGAGAACTTGACTTGCTTGAAATTACCTAAATAAAACTAAAGTCTAACTGGAGATATACAGCTTATCGGCTTATCATAGGGATTTCCTGTCTTCCTAGTCCTTACCTCCGCACCTCAGACCGCAGAGTTGAACTGATTGTCAGTCAAGTTGAGTCTATGCTTCTATGCTCATTAATTCTCCCTCTCTCTTCTCACACTCACTCATTTGATTGATTGACTGATTGACTGGCTTMGCTCACTCACCGTATTCCATGGGGCTGCTGGGTGGCAGTCCTTGGTCAGCGGTGGCGAGTTCTCGCGTCCCGCCTGCCTGGCGAAGCGATGTAGATGTGCGTGTGGATGCTGCTGCTGTTGCTGCAGCACCGCATAGTGGCTGGGCGGGAAGTGGGCCAGCAGTGGCGCCACATGATGATACTGCTCCCGCTCCCTCTCCCTCTCCCGCTCTCGTTCCCTCTCCCGCTCCCGCTCACGATCGCGCTCACGTTCGCGCTCGAAGCGCAGCAGCTGCTGCTGCTGGGCCAAGTAGTGCTGCAGTGCCGCCTGCTGCTGGACTTGCTGCTGCGTCTGTTGCGCCTGCTGCTGCTGCTGGTGCTGCTGATGCTGATGCTGTTGCTGTCCATCTCGAATGGGCGGCGGCGCGTAGCAGTCCTCGGGCGGACTGGCCGAGCCGCGTCCGGCGGCAGCCGCCATCGCAGCAGCGGCGGCAGCAGCAGCGGCTGCCGCAGCGGCACTGCCGGCCAATATGTCCGTGATCATGAAGCGGGAGCGCGGCGCCTGCGTGGCCGAGGGCGAGGTCGTAAGGGTGCCCGGTGTGTCCCCAACGGCTGCCGTAGTTGTGGACATTTCCGGTGGCATTGTGGTCATGTGGTGGCGCCGACTCCTTCACTTGTCTCGCTCCCCCACTGAGCTTTGCCGACGGCACAAACCAATATTCAAATAACAATAACAATAAAAAAAAATAATACAATTGGCAAGATATTCACGAATAACGGCGCTTCTTTATGTTTATTTGTGCTTGGCACTCGCGTCTTTTCTATCAGCGCGCTGTAACTTTGTCCGCTGTTCTTTCTGTGTGGCACAAGAACCGAAACGAAACAAAACGAGACGAGACGATACGAGACGTGAAACGGCGAGACGAGACGAGCCGAGCTCAACAAAAGCCGTGAGAGAACCGCTCGCCTTTGGCTTTCAACCGAAACTGAGCCAAGCAGCGGACACAACGGGCAACTGCTGCTGCCGCTGCTGCTGCTATTGCTGCTGCTGCTGGCGGCTGTTAACGGCCAAAACAAAAACACGTATAAAAAAAGTGGGGAGAACAGACAACAAAAGCAAACAAACCAGGCGACTGCTCAGCGCGCGCACCTGTCGTCGTCTCGCTCACACACACCCGCGTGCTCAGCTCTTGGCCGAGGTGAGTTTCCCATGGTGTGTTTGTTGCTGTTGTTGTCATCTATTGCCTGCATTTATTGGTCGTAATTGGCAGCAATTGACATTCATTAGGTTTCAATCAGCGCCAGCGCTCTCTTTCGCTCTCTCTCTCTCTCGCTCACGTTCGCTTGCTCTCCCGCTCTCTCAGTGGTTGTGTACTCGCATTTGGCAATGGCCGCGACGCTGTGAGCGCTGGCTGCCAAACATAACAGTTAGTTGGCGTGCCATAAACATTTTATGGCAAAGCTATTGCTGCTAGCAGACATTGCCATTGATTGTTGCCGTGCGAATGACATTTTAGCTGCTATAAAAATCGCACACACTGGCATTTTAGTCGCTATAAAAGTCTACACTGATATAACACTACTAATTAATTGCATTGCGAGTTTTTTATAGCAACTGCGCGAAACTCAACACCAAACCGAGCAGCTGCTGCTCTCGCCATGCTGCCGTCGCTTTTGTTGTTGTTGCTGTCGTTATTGTTGCTGTTGTTGTTGCTGTTGAGGATGCTGCCACCCTGTTGTACAAACGTGTATAATCCAGCATCTGTAAGCTCCGCCCCAATAAACTGGTTAATACACACGCACAGCATACAGAGAGACAACTCACGCACTCGCTCTCACCACAGCCTATATAGCGTGCCTGCTTTAACACATGTCTGGGCCGCTACACCAAAGGGGCTGTCTGGATGGCAGGCTCTCTGCTGCGAGCAGTTGCCTGTATGTATATATATATGTGTGTGTGTGTGTGTTTGCTTGTGCATTTATGGGCGTGTGTGTGGCTGTGTGCGAGTGTGCTAGTATGCTAGTGTGAGTGTCTTTTGTTATTTTTGCGCTTGTTAACACTTTTTGTTTGGCATTTAAACAGTAAATTGGCAGCAGTTAAATGATGTGCGCTCTCTCTCTTTCGCTCGCCCGCTCGTACGCCATCAGCCGTCCCGCTCTCGTGCACGTACACACGAGCATGCATAGTTTCTCGTGTAGTAGTTGCTTAGTATCGATGTCAATTTGCTGCCTAATGTGCAAGTGAATGAGTCTGGCAACTGGATCGGGTACATAATATAAGAGCAAAGCTCTGGCATGGAGGCTGAGGCTCGATAGAGAGAGGGCAGTGGCCCGGCGCGCTCTGGGCGGATGCCGAGATGCTGCTGTTGTTGTTGTTGTTATTTTGATGATGGAGTTTCGCTTGGAGCAACTGCAGACTGCAGTTGTTTTTGTTGTGGGTTGTCGTTGTTGTTTTGTCTTTGTTGTTATTACTTTTAAAAATGGCTTCATTACAAATGACTACAATTGGCGCTGCTGTTGCTGCTGCTGCTGCCGTTGCTCATATTGTGCTGTACATCTTATTATTGCTTTGCATACGAAATGCCCAAATATGTGTGCGTAAATGTGTGTGTGTGCGTGTGTGTGCATTTACATACTGAATGTATTGACCCACTATTGTTATTCTTGTATTTGCTGATTGTGTTTGACTCTTGTTGTTGAATCTTATAAATTGATCGAAACAAGCAGCCAATATCCAGAATAATAAGAATATCGTTAACATATTTAAGAATATACCTACATATGTAATATATATTGATATAAATATACCATCAGTATAGCGCAGCGAAATTGAATTATTTATATAGCCCTCAATATGGCTACCAGAGTTACCAAATTCTTATTTGTTGGCTGAAAAAGGCGTGTTCTTTAGGAAACCAAACTAAATGACGAGGAAAATACAAAATTAAAGCTGACTGTGATCATCTCCTATTTATATATTATAATATTAAGATAATATTCGATTTTGCTTATTTTTTATTAGTAATTACGTAATTATGTAGGTAGAATAGATAGGCGATCCACATTAAAAGAAACATAACCCTCGCATCAATTGCTTTATGCAAATAAACAAAGAATTGATGCATAAGCAAAATTTCCAAAAACCTAAAGAAATATTTTCATATAATACTAAATAATAATAAATATATACACACTCCAAAATTAAGAACATAAAAAAGTCTATACTCTAAGAAAATAAACACGCTTCAAGTAGGCTTTAATATAATGTTATACAATTTTTAATGTTCACATGGGTATATTTGTATATATTATACATAAATACATTATTATAATTATTATTATATTATGTATGATAACATTTTACCTACGTTAAGAAAAGCATCATTAAGACCGACAGTTCAGCCCGGAAGGGGTTGAGTTTGAACTCAGTATTCCCCTACGAATTGCAGTTTTGGGATTCAGATATTCAGAATTTTCAGAATGACAAAGGGCTTTTGAAATTGAATTATTCGCACCATAATACTTAAACTCATATTGAATACAGCTCAGACAATTGAAGTCACGAATTTGAAGTCTGAACGTAAAAGTCCTTGAGAGAACAGTTCATTCGAGTGACTTAAATATCATTGATAACAGTTGAGAATAATTTTGATTATAAATGTAGCAAATACATATATATTGCTGCTGAAAAAACCTTCCCTCTTGAATAAAATTTTTGTGGATACTATTATACTATTCTATAAGCCTCTAAGCTTGATTTCTAAGAAGAATAACACTATAGATTACTTAAAATAAATTATAGAAAATACTTGGTTATCGCTGAAAATGGAAATTCAAAATATTTGCTCTCCCTCTCAATCTCTCTCTCTCTCTCTATCTACTACCTTTTCTTCACCTCGAACTCGTAAGAAAAACATATTGAAAATATTACAGAGTCCGCAAATACGCACATCTCTATACCATCCATTAAAATACTCATAAAGCATGCGACATCGAAACAAAAATCAAGCTCAAATGGGGGCTGAGTTCCATGCGCTCAACCAAAGGCAGAGACAGATATTTCAAGAAATCTAATCAGCAAGTCGCCCTGATCAAGAATATCTGCCACGCCCCCTTCTGCCTATTGCATAAATCTTCAAAATATATGTATGTATTAGAGCTAGAACTCCCAAGTTAAACATGGTATAGGCTATAGATCTTGTCAAATGGAGAATTGATTCTGTTATCAGACCTTCATTTTTCGTCTGCAATATTTGGATTTACATATGCTCTTTTCTTTAGCTTATCTTCATTTCCAGTTGTTTTCTATAATTCAAGAGTCGCTCTTTAAAGAGATTTTCACAGATCTCAGAGTTGAACTATGGGGAGCAGAGAGCCTAGACTACAAGATTAAGCTCTTTGTTTATATTTATTGAATGCAGTATGTATTTTGTTTATATGTACATGTATTTGATTATACTCTTACTATTATATAGCAATGGATTAAGATAAAAAAGCTAGACAAACTTATTCAGTAGATAATGTCTCCATATGGCTGACTTTCTAGGCTCTCTAATAGATATATTTGTATGGAAAGTTTGCCGCCATTTTGTTTTGAGTGATTCGCATGAGTTTGTGCTCCTCCGTTCTTGCGTACCGCCCCTCTCCTCTCAGCTCTGCTCTCACGAAAATTAATACAGAGCCGCAATGGCAGTTCATTAAAAATGAAAAAAGCCAAATAAAATAAGAGATGAGAAAATGTTCACACTCGTCCCACAAGTTATTTAAAAAGACATTAAAAATGACACATGATGTGCAGACGTGACAGCACGGCTGGTGGTGAGAGTGGTGCGAGAGGCGCAGGTGTGAGTGGTGCAGGTGTGAGTGCTGGCCAGTGATTGCGTGGACTCATTAAAGTGGCTACAAAATGCCCCACTGCCCATTAAGGGCTACCCGATTGATGCTTGGTTAGCTGCGTGTAAATTTCACACCGTTGCTTGCTTTTTTTTTTCGTTCATTTCTTGTTTTTAATTAGGTCTTGGCACTCAGTCAGCGCTGAATGCCGGCAGAGCTAACGGTTAAAGCAACCAGTCAGCCAGCCAGCCAGCCAGCCAGCCAGCGAGTGGGCCGACCAACCACCCACAGCTACCCCCAAGGGATGCGCTTAAGTGGCTATGGAATGGGCCTGGGTTATGGTCTTTGAAGGTGTCGTAATAGCACTCAACTCGCTCTGATTCCAGATAAAAAGGAAGGCAGACTGAGAGCGAGAGCGAGAGAGAGAGAGAGAGAGAATGAGTGCATGGGCAAGGGGTGGGTGCGCAGCAAAGCGAGGGGAAACGCTTCAACACAAACAAATTAAAAAGCACTTAACAAACGAGCAGCCGCTGAGAAGGCGAGCCCAGGCAGCTCCTCCTGCTCCTGTCAGGCGCCGCTGCTCCCGTTGCGTGAGCTATTCGGCCGAAGATCATTTAGAGCTCTGTCAACGCCGCGAGCCGAGCTAAGCTGGAAGCTGGAAGCTGTGAGTTGAGAGTCGAGAGCTGAGCACTGTGAGCCAAGCTCGTAAATTTCGAGACATTGGCCGTGGCGTGTGGCGTCAGTCAAAGCGAATTCAAATTGCCCAAGTTAACATCCTGTTGCGGCGCGATTTGGAGAACTGAAAATGGGGCCGCTTCTTAATTGAGGTTTAACACAACATTTACCGCTTTTTGCTAATCGCCTTGAAGCCGCCGCCGCCGCCGCCGCCGTCGTCAGGGTGTGTCGAGACCAGATCTGAGATTCCGTTTCGGATCTAGGTGCCAGGCCCTGAGCCAGAGCTAACCCCTGACCAGTACGTGATTTCATTCATAAAAATCGCGCTCTCGCTTCAGTTTTGGTTTCTGTTTCGGTTTCTGTTTCGGTTTCTGTTTTGGATTCGGCTTAATAACAACACGTCATGTCATTTCATTTTCGACCAGGGTCTCGGCCAGCGTCTCCCAGGCAATTCCTCAATCCACAAATATCCGAGCTCCCCTTCCTCCTGTCCCCATAA